AATTGGCTGATAGAAGGAGAAATATGTAATCCACTCTCTTTTAGGTTGTCTTTCTACTTTCCGTAATTGTATTTTTCAGTGTCTGGCAGTCACTGCCAAACTTTCTTATATGTCTGTCGCTATTACTAGCTGAAGTTAGTACTGTATTTGATATATCTGAAATGTTTTTCTAAAACAGGGGTCCTTAACATATTCAATTCAATTCACAGGCCAAGGACCCCGAAACTGATGGAGAGACAGAGTGGAGACTCCTAATTATATACTGTATAGAGTTGCGCCAATGCCATTTTTTGCCAGGTATCGGTATCAGGGCACAGGCAGGTGTTATTAAAGTATTTCTGATTCTGATTCTGCAGTATTGGCCGAAACAAAACACCTGATGCCTGGCTGTGCAGTATGTGTATATATGAAATTCTGCATACCACTTGGATGTAAAATAATTGCCATTGTGGCTTTGTCAAGCTGCTGCCTACATTTGTGAAGCAGGAAAAAGACTAATACAAAGTGAATACAGTGGAACTTTTTATTGCCTACCTAGAATGGGTGACAATAGTTGAATAAACTTTTGGCTCTCTAAATGGTATCGGTGCCCTATTTGTTGGTACTCACCCATACCGATACCCCCATTTTAGTGCAGTATCAGGACCCTGCCCCAATACTGGTATCGGTATAGGTGCAACACTAATTATATATATTGTTAGAAATTGTGTTATATCAAACTGGTTCTATAGTCACTCTATTACATATGGAGTAATGTAATGAAAGTATTTTTTCCCTGAGATTATTAAAGTATTTCTGATTCCTGGTTGATGGGACAGGTGTGAATAAAACAGTGCCCAGCTTGAAAGAGCTCCTGTGTGTCGCTGAATGTGAGCATTGATGACTGAAAGACATCTTCTGCCTCCATTTATCTGTTTACTACAGTGTGTTGAATTCATGTTAATGTGTATTTAAAGACATTTCAATTAGTGGAAAAAATTGCAGGGGGAATATAAAAAAAACTAATCAACCAAATCTTTCACGACTCCCATGCAGTACCTCCATAGACCCCCTAGGGGTTGCGGACCCCCTTTTGAAGACCTCTGTTCTAAAGAGTTGTATTTACCTATTTAACTGCAGAACAGGATGCTTCAAATCAGATTTGTTTGTAGGGTTATGCTTTCCGCTTTTAACAACTGTGGTGTGTCTAACCCCTTGCTCACACTGGCTCCGGTGCGGTCTCCGTCGGCTCAGTAACCGCACACCCCCTCTCACACGCCCTTTTGACTACGGTGCGGTGCGGCTCTGCGGCTCCGGCAACAGGTCCGGAGATTTAACTCGCGAGAACAGAAGTTCACTTGAGTTCACGTAACTTCATGCGATAACACGGCCCAAATAAGGATATTTGCGAGAGCTTGTTGCGGAGGGCTCCGGCACGCCGCAAGGATAGCTTTCTTGCTGAATTTTCTGCAGCGCCGGAGTGTCTCGGACACCTCAGCAGCCGGTGAGAGAGGTTTACGTCTTTTTAATGACTTGGAATCACTGCGGCGCCGCACCCACCGCACCGCAACGGTAAGACCGGATTTGGTGTGAGCCGGGGGTGAGTGTGGTTACAGTCAACAAAGCAAACACTTGTAAAGGTTAACCTTATTTCAGCCTCTTTTCTTTTAGGGCCTCTGTTTGATCAGGAAAACCCATGTTGGGAACAAAGAATTATTAAAATCCAGACATATTTATAAAAAGCTTTTGAGGATTATGTTGATGTAACTTTTAACCCCTAACAACCACATCCAGATTCTGTTTCTTCTTGTAAGTTCTTAGATTTATGACACCTTTATTACTCTGAGCCAGAAGGATGTGAGAGATTTTTTTACACCTGTATGGAAAAGGTAAATAATGACAGGGCTCCTGTATCCCCCCCTGCATTTCACCATTTCATCTCTATCTCTTGCTTTGCAGCACATTACCAGTTTCAACCTGTGAATTTCTCTTGATTCTTGATCATCTGAAGCCCTCAGTTTGCTTGTTGATGCTGTTCCATATAAACTATTTAAAGAGCTTATTTTTGTTGTTGGCTGTTATCTATAGCGGTCAGGTCTGAACTCCTATGGAACCAACAGTAAACAGCACATCAACTGACTAAAAAAATATCCCTTTGATTAATTTGTCATAGTAGCTTCGCCTCGTCTGTTCCTACTTGACTGTGACACCAACTCAATATTGGAGATCTGTGACTGGCTGGATGTGCTCTTTTCATCCTCTGACATTGGAGCTGACTCAGCGCTCCTGTGCCTGGCTGTGTGTTTCCTGGGCAGGGCTGCCCTTTAAAATTGCCTTTTGTATCTCTGCTTCTGTCTCCTTAAAACCCAGTCAGCCTCTGCAGATGGCCGCTCACACTAAGTCTGATTCTGCTTGACGTTTTTTCTGTTAAAAGGGAGTTTTTTCACTCCACTGTCACTGCAAGAATGCTTGGTGCGAGGGAAGAGTTAATGCGTTGATGCAATCAACTGGTTTTCCTTAGGAAGAAAACCTTGAACCAATCTGATTGTATGATCTGGTTGAATTGTATCTGTAAAATGCTTTGAGATGACAGGTGTTGTAAATTGGCGCTATATAAATAAACTAAATTGTATTGAATTGAAATAGTTTTTTTAAATATTTCAAGTTTTTTTTACATTTTTTTACATTGATATTTTATTTTAAAATTAATTAATTAATTAATTGATTAAGATCTTTTTCAAAGTTTAATTTCTGCATGGAAATTTTTTTTTTTCCACATTTCCTTTAACAAACGTGTTCTTTGCTTAATGGAACTAAATGTAATCCACATCTGAAGATACCGTCATTAACAGTCTTCTGAGGAGGATACTCATGGTGGTCGTCATTTTCGAAAGAAACTTCTTTTTGAAATAATCTCCAGAGCTTCTAGGGGAATTCCTAAAACCTTCTTAAAGACGTTTGTTGAGCTTCTTTAAGATATTTGCTCGATGCTGATACCCCAGCAGATGATGGAGGAAGAGATCACACTCTCCATAACAGACTGATAGAAGATATGCAGCATCTTGTTGCAAACGCTGAAACATTCTTCCTCCTCTCCTCATTCCCCCACTAAGAGGCTATCATGGTTTTGTCAAAGTTTTATCTTTGAGTTTTCATTGATTTTATTTCTATTTTATTTTATTCTTGTCATTTTTGATTGTATTTCTTAGGTATTTCTTGTTTGCCGTCTGTTGCCCTGTCAGCTCTCCTTTTCTCTAGTTCCCTTCTAGACTCCTCTGTCCACGTGTTCCCAATCAGCTGATTAAGCCGAGCATACCTTTGCCCTGGCCACCTTTAGCCAATATATGGCCACCCCTGTGGCCACCCCTATCATTTTTTTCCTCTACTTCAGATGGCGGGAGCAGTAATACTCTCAAGTGGAATATTCTGATGGCCGTTTCTTCCTGTTAAAATTGAGTTTTTCCTCTCCACTGTCGCTACAAGCATGCATAGTGTTAGGGAATGCCTTCAAGTCAATGAGCTGATGGAATCAACTGGTTTTCCTTAGATAGAAATCTTTGAATCAATTTGACGGATGATTGTCAAATTGACCTTGATATGACATGTCTTGTAAATTGGCGCTATATAAATAAACTGAACTGAATTGAATTATGCACATCAATACACTCAGAGCATTCAGCTCGGCAAAGAACTCATGCTCTTCAACACTGGGTTAGGGTGTTTACCTTTGCACAGGTAAACAGCACATTTCTTCTTCTACGCTTGCATTATCGGCAGAGCAGGCGCTGAATGCGCACTTTCGTCTGGTTTGGTCTGCCGCGGTTTCCGTAGACTCGTGAACGCACTTTTAGGAAATCCTATACACTACTGTTTATGCTCTAAAAACATTCTAAATGACTTCGTTTCGAGTAAATTATGGACGCTACCCACTCAGGACACTTGGAATACATTGGACGAGCAGTATGGAGGAATATTGACACGTTTTTTGTGGACTTTTATGGACCTTTCTGCCTCGGGCACCATAGACCTCCATTATTTGAATGTCAGCAGACAGCAAGAAGCCTCCCAGATCTCCAGATGCATTTGAGATATCAAAAAAGTACTCCAGAGTGTTGTTCAGCATGGGGGTGAGTAGAAAATGAAGGCTAATCATGTTTTGGGTGTACCATTCCTTTAAAGGTGATAAGTACAGAATTCATGCTCTTTTCAAAACTAGATTTTGTTATATGGGATAAAGAGAATATGACGTAATGACGTAAAATCAAGGGCCAAATGTAGAAAAAAAAAAATGCATCTCCCTTTAAGCAGTCACTGGCAGTCTAGGTGGCATGTGGGCAATGAAATGGAATAATGTAAACAGATGCAAAACCCTTCATGCACCGCAACATATATTTGCAAAATATTCTAACATAAATTTGTCAAATATAAGAGGAACATCCTAGTTTGGTTTAAAGAAAACATTTTAGTTTTATTATAATTAAGCTTGCTGCAAGGATTACACAGTTTGAAGAAATATTAAATTAGACCACATGTCAAGGTCACAAGGATGTGAATGACAAGGAAGGGCTATATATACTGCATGCATCATTTAGGTAGTTAACATTGTATCACATCCGGAGCCCTTTGAGTAATTTACTATCACAGGGAGGTGCTTCAGCAGAGAAAGTGTTGGGGCCGCACGCTGAATTTAGGAGCCGGTATCACAGATTAGAAGTCCGAACCTGCCTGGCCACCCTGCCCTGCCACCCTTATTATTATTTTCTGGCTACGGCCCTGACTGGTCGGTATATTCATTCTGTAGACTGAAGGTTGAGATGTATCAGTGTTTACTTAAAAAATTATGCAAATTCTTTACATAGAATGTTAAACCGAGTTGCTGTCATGAGTTTTGAGGGGTGATGGGGACATGGTGGGATGGGATGGGTAGGGGCTTTAAACCAAGCCAACTGTACATTGAGCAACATTAAGGGCGTCTCCGATGCTGGTTTAAAAGTAACAAACACAGCAACTACGAGCTTTAAAAGATCAACCTCAGAGTCAAAATCAAAGATAGGATTCCTGCTGGTGACACAGTCACCTCCGCGCGCGTCGCACGGGCCAAAACACACTAACACACCCTTCCAAGAGGAAGCACGCGCCACTGTCCCACCAAAGAAGAACCGCAACAGGAAACAGCCGCTCCGCCTGGTTCCCAGGTTCTCCTGCCTTTACCAGGCGCAGCAGCATTGATCCTCAGTTTGCCGTCTGACCGTCGGAGAGTTTGGAGCTGAGCCGCAACAGAGCGCAGAAAACCAGGTGAAGGTCTCTTTATTACTCTGCTTATTTAAAGCAATAGAAGCGCTAAATGTGTTCGAATGACTGGTACGCAAAGTTTGAAAACTTTTGAAAGAGTTTTTTAAATGATTTGGTATCAGAATTAGTTTTTTGTGCTGCGGGTAGCCTGGCTGTCTGTATAAAAACATTATCTGTGCCATCACTCTTATTATGATAAAGTTAAATTAGGGAAAGTGCTTGGTAAATCCACAGAAAGCATTTTTTAAGCGTATGTTTTATAAATCCGCGGTCAATCAGCACATTTAATTTTAAAGCATCATATGCCAAGTGTTCATGTTTTCTGATTTAACATTTTTATTTTCATCGACATGCATACATACATTTCAAAGGGAGTCTGTACCACAAAGTTTTCTACTAAACCGACTGTTCTTACCTTCAGACTAGGTAAATATTAGAGAATTTCCAACAAGTCTGGAACATCTTGTATGAATGTTTTGGTTCTTGATGGAAAATTTGATACTGCTCACAAAATGACCTATTCTGTTTATTTTTCTGAGCCTTATTCACAAGGAACTACTTATCTAGATGTTTCCATCACCTTGTTATGCTTTGAGCATGCAGGGGCGGACTCAGGAGCAGAGGTGTCAAGTAACGAAATACAAATACTTCGTTATTGTACTTAAGTACACTTTTTAGGTATCTATACTTTACTCCATTAGCCTACTTATTTTTCTTCCTACTTTTTACTTCTACTCATTACATTTTCACACGAGTATCTGTACTTTCTATTCCTTAGATTTTTTTAAAACAAACGTTACTCTTTATTCTTGGCTTCGGTTTAATGCAGAGGTCACAGATTAGTGGACCGCGGTCCGGTGTTATGCCGAAAAGTGCATGTCTGCTGCGCCTCACTCTGTTAAACTGCATATCGGCGAGGAAAACGGATTAAAATATGACGAATGGAGCTATTTGTTGTTATATTATTGATATAAAAACGTTTAAATATTCATCCCTTGGGAAATCTTGGTTATTTGGCAGATTTACAAAAGTACGGGTGTTATGAACAACATTCAATCCAAAGATGTTGTCAGAGGTACGGCTGATTTATTTGTTGTAGACTCTTGTTATTCACACACAACAATAAACAGTGATAGCCGACGGGAGTTTGGAAACTGCAAGGCTTTGTCTTAAGCGGAAAATCAAACGCGCATCTACACAGCACAGCATTCACAGACCAGTGTGATGCATTAACGAGCGTCAGATAGCTATGGTGCATTCAGGAGCATTGGACATTTCATACTCACAAGCAAAAAGACATAAACGGAACAGAACTTAACTCATGCAATAATGTATTTATTCAGAAACAGTGTGGGCTTTCTTGCAATGCCAAAAGCTCTATAATTGTATTTCTGTTATTTTTACTAATAATAATAATAATAATAATAATAATAATAATAATAATAATGCACATCTGCACCTGTCATCTCAAGTTTTTTATTCTAAAAAATCTATAATATTACAGCAGCAAATTATCAAAGTTTTTCAAAAGCCTGTTTAAAAGCTCCAAATAAGGCTTCAGATCAGACAGCAACAATTACGCTGTTTTGCAGGGCAGAATTTGCATTTGCCGACCCTTATCCTTTAACTACTGATGGATATACAGGAATACAGTCATACAAGTATAAACTCCTCTGAGATAGCACGGGATGTAATTTTTGGCAATTTCTATTTAAAAAAAAAAAATTTTATTTAATGTATAAATGAATGCATAAATATCTCATTTAATTTCAGTGTTAAATTCTATTTAAAGTAACAGATCATTAAAAATGTATCTGGAAATTTAGTGGTTGATAATTTTCTTTATTCAGACTCCACTGATTTTTAATTGGTTACCTCTGGTTTAATGTTTAAAATATTTATTTCACGTCATGTGCGCCATCCAATGCAGATCATTGGCGCCATCCACATCTAGTGAAAACTAGTGCTATTGGATGAGTCAAATAAAGCAAACACTCATTGGTTAGCTAAAGGAAATCATCAGAAGCAAGCAGGTGTTCTTCAAACTGCAAACGTGAATTGTCTATGCCATGCTACAATGTCGAATTCATAAAAAGATGTTGAAATGTCTCAAAGGTGGGACACAGGCGAGAGCGTATCGGGAGAGGGAGACCAACAAGACCTCCCTCATGCTTGGCCCTATCTCAGATAATTTTTCGAAATAGTCAAAAAATGTAGCTTTCAATTCATATATATCTGGCTGCCTTTTTTTTTTTTTTTTTTTTTTTTTAAGGTCACTTTATACTTTTATACTTTAAGTACTTTTTGGAGCACATACTTTTTCACTTTTACTTGAGTAAAGAGGTCAAGTTGGTACTTCAATTTTTACCAGAGTTTTTTTAAACTGCTGTATCTATACTTCTACTTCAGTTACAAATGTTTGTACTTTTGACACCACTGCTCAGGAGAGTACATCTGTGGGGCACGGCATTGTGCATTGTTCTTTCTCTGAGTGAGAACGTGATGGAGAGAGAGAATATGCTCAATTTATTAAAACCATTTCCAACAATGAAAGTAAATGTAAGAAATTTAATTCAAAGTTTGTACTATCTAAGTATTTCATGTGGATGGTGGTCATTGTATGTGTGCATTGTCCCTTAAAGGCATTCAGGGTGTTTCTATGTAAAAATGCTTCCCTGGGAACAGGAACCTCAGCAGGAAGCACCACAGATAATTTTACACCACAAGGTTCCTGCAGATTGGTTTGTGCTATCTCCAGGTTGTAGGGCAGGCACCCCCAAAGTCGGTCCGGTAGGGCCGCTGTCCTGCAGGTTTTAGAGGTTTTCTCTGCTTTAGTACAGCTGATTCTGATGATTGCAGTTCAGTTGATCAACTATCAATGTAAACCAGCTGTGTTGGAGGAAGGAAACCTCTAAAACCTGCAGGACTGCGGCCCAGGAGAGGAGTCCAGGTCGGCAGAAGCTTGGTTTGGTGTAGAAGGCTTATAGATGTACATGTTTGAGCCCCCCCCCCAATTTGAATATGACTTCCCTGCGACTTTAAAAGAAACAAAACTAAGGGGTCTATTTTTAAAATGTATGGAGTAGAAAGTAGAGATAATTGCAAAAAAATATATAGTATAGATGGCCAAAATTTCTATTTAAGTAAGGTAACGATGTATATGTACTTTGTTAAGCGGGGCTTACACTGTAAGATTTTTTGCACTTTTCGGACCAATTTTCCGGTCATGTCAGAATTTTTTTAATCGGGCCTAGTTTCGGCCTGGTCGTGTGTCATGTAGTGTACAGGGGGTAATGAGGGGCAATCAGCCTCTCACGACCACCTCCCCGTCAGTAATCCAAAGGTTTAGAGAAAATCAAACATGTTTGAAATTCAGTCGACTGTCGTGAGGTGTTCATGGACAAATCCTGCTGTTGAAGCAGAGCTACGAGCCGATTTATCACAACCTCGAGCACTGCTCATGTGCAAACAAGAAAGTTCTTCTTCTTCTTATACCAGATTGATGAGTCCGATCAGCGCTATCTCCCGGCGCTGAGTCAGATGGGTGGTTTTTAGATGTACAGTGTGAGCAGGTAGATCGCATCAGAGCGTTGGGCCGCACGGTGTGAGAACATACATCGTGAGCTGTGAACTTTAGAACCCTGCGGTTTCATCATACAGTTTGAGCTCTACCTGCATGTAACGATTGAAAATATTGCACACTTTATGGCTGGCTTTACTTGACACCTCTGCTCACGATTGTTAAGCTGTCACACTTCTCTCTCTTATTGTCTCTGGTAGCAGGTACCTTCGCTAATACTAGCTGACATGATAAAGTAGGTATAACTTGCCCTAACATTCATTAAAGGCACACTATGCAACATTTTTCAGTTAATTAATGTGTTCCATAACGTTATGGATGATTAAATGATTCATTTCAGGTTGAACAAAGGTATTCTCGGCCGCCCTGGTGGTCTGTGGGGGAAATACCGCACTTGCAATTGCAGGAGCACCGACCCGCACCCACAGGCTCAGAAGTCTCGTGAGAGTCAGTCTTGCTTTACGGCGAGAACTGCTACACCCCCCAGTTAAAAGCATTCTCGTTGCTAGCACAGTGGCGATCTTTGTGCAGTTATGCTACGTTCACATCGGACGCAGCAAAATCGCGTCTACTGCTTCATTTTTGCTGCTTGTACCAGTTAGTTCTGACGCGCGGCTGAAGCAGCTTTGCTGCTCTGGCTGCGCGGTGCAAAAGTGTGTCTGACGCGCTTTGGGCGGAGCTTCACTATCCTTTCTCTGCCTTGCAGCTATATTTGCTGTGATCAGTGGGAATAAAGTAGTTTTAATATGTGTTTAAGTGAGAAAATACACCTGAAAACGTAATCAGTGCCGTCAGTTCATTCAGATTATTATCCTGCCTTCAATATTTTTTCTGTCGGAGCCGCTCAGACCCCCACATACCAGCGGTGCGCCGACAGTAGGGATCCCTTCATCAGCAGCCTCTGGCCTGGTCGCCTTCGGTTCACCACGGCAGCTGGTAGGTGTTTTTCATCTAAATAATCCAAACTGCATATTCTGCCGGCAGATTTCTGCATTTTAAGTTAATTTAGGCGTCAATAAACTGTTTAAGAGGAGTGATCATCAGCGCTGTGTCTCTCTCCCTGCGTCAGATGCTTAAACGCGCCCGATGCGCTGCTTCAGCTGCTCAGACGTGCTGCGCCTGCTGCTCAAAACGCGCCGCGGGACCTTTTGCTGCTCCTTGACGTTACGTTGCATGTAAACTCGCTGCTTCATCAGAAAAAAAAAAAAAAATCAGGACATCCCTTTTTATTTGGTACTGTATAATTAACTCTGTCTTGCTATGTTAGACCTGTGTAACACATGTTTCTTAAGCAGAAAAATGTGCAGCTGAGTCCTGCTGATTAGCTATTATCAGGGGTAAGCTCTTTGAGCAAAACAAGCACACCCTGAAATGGTCCGTGACCTCAGACAATAGCTCTCACTGTGTTGGATGGGACTGTTAC